CCCTGCTCCTTCCAAAGGACTTTGTAAGTGGGATGGTCCTAGCAAGTTCTGCTGAATCTATTCATTTGCAAATACTCTCCCAACCTACCCCCCAAGCTGGGTTGATGTGAAAACAAATGCTGTCTCTCTTTGACTCTTTCTAATTGATGGAAAACCTTTCCGCAGCTTAATTCAACTTAATTCTTAACGTTTACCATGAATGTCTTCTTCACATGTACCTCACCAACAGTAACACTCAAGTACAGTAAGTCACCTGATGTCTTGTGACTAGCTTAATTGCATTTTTATGCCCCACAGCAGCTAGCCTGTTCACAATCCTGCTAGAGCCCTAGCAAAGCATGCAAATAAAAGGTACATTATTTGGCATAATAAATTCAAGGTGGGATTTATTAGTCTGCAAGCCCTGCCAAGAACTCAGTGACCCCAGGAACAACTTTGCTTACATCCATGCGTCAATATTGTATTGAGACTTACTTCAAACAGCCGGTTTTTTGAAGCTGCAACCAGTATGTTTTGACGACCAAGGCAAGGCTGGGAGTCAGTAATGCTGAAAGTGAAAATTGCTATCAGTCTTTCTCCAAAAATCGAAAAGATGTTGTCAGTAAAAAGTAATACCCCATCTCTTTTACCACCACATTTCCTCTACAAATACCCCTATGGCAAGCGTTGTGACCCGTGGCATGGACCAGGTTAGCATTGGGGTGATGCTGGCTTAGGTCATGCCACCAAATCAGTTCCCCATGTTGGTCTTTTGGAGGCTTCAGCTCTTCTCCCATCTGTGAAGATGGGCAGATTGCTCAAGGGAGGTTTCCTTGTGGTCTGAATACATCCTTTGGTGGCTCTGGCAGAAGTGCAGTGGAAGAGAGATGCAGCGTCCACAGAAACTTCTTCTATGCATCTCAAAAAAAGACCTTTTAGAAGCTGTTCAACAGAGAAGGAAAGTAAGAAAGCCAGATGGCTCTGCTTTTTAACAGGGTGGTATTGCTACAGCTGCTGGTACTGCCAGGTAACGATGTACTGCTGCATCCTTTCAGATGCTCCCAGCACAAGCCTACAAAGCAATGGGTGAGGAGCCAAAGGGCTGCAGAAAAACCTCTCTATCTGGTGTGCAACCGAGAAGTTACAAAACCCTTGAGTCGTTGAACTGGTTAAGTTGCCAATTTGTGGGAATAAACCAGGAAGGTGCATAAATAGCATAAATGCCTTACCAACAAATGCTAACTAAGCCTCGGGTTCTCATCTGGTAGATTTTACAGGCAGATAAATTGAGGAAGAGAAAAATACCCTCAGAATTTCAAAAGTGAGTGCAGAGATGTCAGATGGGTAAAAATAAAACATAAACAGGCTTCTTGTTGATCAGAAATTTCAGATATCTAAGCGATATAAGCAACCAAAACTAAATATCTTTCTATTTTATATTATCAAGGAAATAAATGATTTTGTTGTGACTAGATTTCATTTTTAAGAATACTGCCAATAACTTTCAGTGTGCTGTGAATTTTTTCCTTATGTTAAATTATTGAATGTGAGATGGACGCACAACACTCACTGAATCTTCATACTAATTTACTGTTGCACGTGAATCTCATTAAATCTCAATCTCAGAATTGTTTATAAATGGAATGGTTTACAAACCTTAATGAGGCAAATTGGGGGCACCCAATGCTATAGTCATTCCAAAAATCGATTTCTTCAAGGGAAGCTTTGTCTGCATAGGGACAGGTGGGATCTGCTCTGGGTAGTTTAATTTCCTGCCTTGTTAATTTCCCAGCAATAAATTTTGATGAGATGCTGATGATGATAATGACTAATAATACTGGGCTATTTACTTTAACATGCTGATGTTTATTTCTTTGGTTTTATTGCAAAGTTTAGAAATACCAACATTTAACTTCAATGATGTTAACTGGTATCTTTTCTAGATTAAAGGTTTGGGGCTGTCCTCTTACAAAATGCCATGAAAAGGGCTTTTTTTGATAATTTGAAAGCATTTGCAGTCTTATTCTCTGGTCTTTCTACATGTTGTTTTGATTTGATTTGCACAGCAAAGCACAAAGGACAGGAAAACCTGTTTGCCACATAGAAGCTGTGACACTGAAAGAGCCGAGAAACCAGGCATAATCTGGTTTAAATCTGAAACTGTGCCCAAGCAGACTACTCTTGGTGGGAGCCTCTCTGCTGACAAGATAAATGGCTGCGGCATCATCTTAAGGAACCATGTAATAGTTCATGTCCAATTAGCTACACCTTTTGGTGGTATCTTATTGTCAAGCTGCACAGAGATTGAATAATTTGAACTACATTCTCAAAGGCAGTTGTAAAAGTGAAAAATTCGGTGGGAAACACAGTATCTGCTCTGTCCTAGGCTGACACCTTGCTCTGAAACCTCAAGCAATGCAGGACTGTTCCCTGAGAGAAAGGATGAAAAAGTCAGGCTCAGGCATGAGAAAAGAGTTTTCATCTCTGTGGTCCCCACAGAACAACTATAGCTGTGGGAGCAGAAGTATTCATGTCTCCTCAATTATTAAGCTGATAAGGTAACCTCTGAACACAGGGGGGAAAAGGATGAATTTTCAGAATCAAACTTTTTTCCCTGAATTAGCTGTTGTTTCCCTCTAGTTAGAATTGGGGTTTTTCAGGGTTGATTTGCTGGTTTGTTTCTGGTTTGGTTTTTTTTTTTTTTCTATTCAAAGTTACTGGTGCCTGCACCTTTGCTAACATATTTCATACAATTTTTTAAAAAACAATTGGGTAAATGAAGTAAATCTTAATTCTTGTGAAAATATAAGAAAGAAATAAAGGAAGTATATTTGATGACTCAGTTCTTACAGACAAGTCAAATCTTCACCCCCCAAAACTATTTGTTCCTCTGTATTTAGAATTAGGTTTTTTATTTTTCTGCTATTCAAAGTTACGTGAGCCAAAAAGTCTTTCTGAGCTTTTACGATGAGTTCAGGCTAAGAACAATACGAATGCCCCCCTCCAGCTGCAAGGTCTCAAGGAAAAACGAAGTTCTTCCAAAACACAAATGCTACTTTGAGAAATAACATTCCATTGAGCAGATCATTGGCCACACTAACGAGTACAAGTAGGAAACAAAAAGTTAACTTAAACTTGGTGAATGCAAATACTCAACAAAACGATGGTCAATAAGAGTAAAAAGCTAATCCTACAGAGCAGTCACGCTGCTGGAAAAGTCAACTCAGAAGCGTTTGATTTGGGAACAGACACATATAGCAGTATCAGAGTATTTCTTCTTTACAGGAAGAAATAGAGGGAGATAGGCAGCATCAGCATGAACGTGGCTGGCAACATACGTCAGCTGTGATCTCAGAGGTGTCTGGAGGTGAAAGAATAGTTTAATCTCATTTCTTCCCAGTTTAGCTTCTTTGCAGAAGCAGCCAATCAGGGAGCTATTTATTACTAATTCTGATTACAGATAGCCTTCTGCTAGGCGCTGGGCTAACCCGCCAGTTAGAGACCAGCAAGAAGCCACTGGGCTTTGTATCACAGGTGATGTCTGGGGTCACACAATGTTTTCTTGAAAGACTGTGAACACCTACTGATCGGCCTCCTTCACTCACAGTTACTTACTTTTCATTCTTACCTTCTTTTAATGTGAAAAGTGTGTATCGTACTCTGCCTCAGCTCATGCAGGAATGCCAGCTTGTTTCTCTGCTGTCAGACAGGCAGGGATTAGGACCCTGGATGTCCACCTGCTGAAGTACACCAGGTGTGTGCTTATATATATAAGATGTGCTTCAAAGTGCTGTTGAAGAAACCAACTATCCTGTTGGTTGGCCAAAATGCTTTCCCCCACCGTCTCCCTGCCAGCAAACAGTGCTAATCCATGGCATTTGAAATGGAAAAAGGTTTCAGAAGAATTGTGACAAAGCGGGAGCTCAGTTTGTACAGGCATTATTCCTCTCAACCTCATCTCCAAACGCCTTCCGTAAAAAGCGTGTGCCTGACACCTGCACAGTCGGTAAGCTGTCAGGGCTGCATTATGTCATTTCATAAATTATTTGCTTTAAAGTGAGCGCTCCCCCACAGCATTCAAACCCCGTGTAATCATTTTGCTGAGTTTCGATATTTGTTTTCAGGGATGAGTTCTACACAGCCCAGTTGCCTGCCTGAAAAGTTTCGTGAGCACAGTGTGATGGCAGCTGTTAGCACCCCACCGTCGGTGCTGCAGGACTTCACCTGCCCCAGGTGCCGCCGGCCCCGCTCCTCCTGCCCCCCCCTACCCGCAGCCGGGCTGGCGGGGGGCGACCAGCCCGCATGGGGGGGCGACCGCCGCCGAGAGGCACAGCACGCCGGAGCGGCGACTCAGCAGACCCCTTGCGGGCCCTGGACGGGCTCTGGAAGGGCTCTGGAAATTTGGGATATCCCCACCTGCCAGCTGCAGCTCGCAAGGAGCAGCCGCGGCCGCTGCCCGGCTCCCCCC